GAAATAGCTGTTTTCTTTCTTTAAAGAAAGAAATTTTTATAAAATGGGTGGTCGTTAACTATATCATCCTGTTAAGAAATGGAAGGCTAGAATTACTTAAGAGAGTTTTATAACAAGTCTTCATGAAATGGGTGGTTTATATTTTGATTTTCTTGCTTCCATTAAGTTTATCTAAATGCTAAGATTTCTTTTAAATCAAGAGAAGTGCCAAGCCTGGAAAATTTGATAGCATAAATATAACGGAAAAAAAAATAGAGCAAGTATAATTTCCAGCTCACAAACAATAAGGTAGATGTGTGTCCTAGTGAGGGGTTCTAAAAGTTTCCAAGTATGTAATAGTGCAATATACAGTACAGATAAAGTCAGACACAAGAATGATAAGATCTAGTTATATCTAATGGTTAAATAAATTAAAGAAACAAAAAAACCTTTAGACTTTGAAGTTTGCCTACTTGTATATCTTACCTTCCTTCCATATTAGGGATTTTAAACTCAGACTCCTATAGAGACCCAACAGCTAAATTAAGGAATAAGTTGACTATGGTTACCTGCAGTGTACATGGCCCATCTCAAGTCCCCTGGTGCCAAACCCTTTTGGTTTGGCAAAAGGGTACCAAACCCTTTTGGCACCAGGGACCAGTTTCATGGAAGACAATTTTTCAATGAATGACCCAGGGCAGAGGGGTGGGGAGGGGGCTGTGACCCTCTCTGTAACAGGCCACTGTAGACTACTACTCGTCAGTGGCCTAGGGGTCGGGACCACAGGAATAATATCAAAATGAAAACTAAGTATGGTCAGATTTTCATTGTGTTTAACAGAAGTCAGAAATCAGAGACTTGTCTGTATAATCTTCCAACAGCAAATGCTAAAAGACACTTTTTTTTTGGAAAAAAAAAAACCACCATGTGAGCTAAACTTTTTGTTAATAAAAAGCACTGTGTAAGCCAAACTTATCTACAGGTTGGATATAATCACAGGAGCTATTAGTGAGCACACTCTGATTAAATCAAACTAAAACATCTAAACATTATTTACCTTGCTCCTTTTGGTGCTCACTCAAACAAGAGACTCAAACTAGGCAAATTTCAAGGTCAGCTAATGAGTTGTCTTTTGAAAATTAAGAAAGCTATATCTTTTTTTTTTAATTTTTTTTTTATTTTGGCATATTATGGGGGTACAGATTTTAAGGTTTCAATAAATGCCCATTTACCCCCCTCCCCCCAATACCCTATTATTGTAGCACCTATGTGTCCACTTAGGTGCTACTCAGTTAATACCAGTTTGCTGGAGAATATATCTGGTGCTTGTTTTTCCATTCTTGGGATACTTCACTTAGTAGTATGGGTTCCAGCTCTAACCAGGAAAATATAAGATGTGCTATATCACCATTGTTTCTTAGAGCTGAATAGTACTCCATGGTATACATATACCACATTTTATTAATCCATTCTTGGATTGATGGGCACTTGGGCTATCACAACTGATCCCAAAGAGATACAAGATACAATTTATGAATACTACAAAAATCTTTATGCACACAAACTGGAAAATGTGGAGGAAATGGACAAATTTCTAGAAACACACAGCCTCCCTAGGCTCAACCAGGAAGAAACAGATTCCCTGAACAGACCAATCTCAACAGCTGAAATAGAAACAGCAATTAAAAATCTTCCTAAAAAGAAAAGTCCCGGTCCAGATGGCTTCACACCTGAATTTTACCATACTTACAAAGAAGAACTAGTACCTATCTTGCAGAAACTATTCCACAACATCGAGAAGAACGGAAACCTTCCCGACACCTTTTATGAAGTGAATATTACTCTGATAGAAAGCTATATCTTAATTGTCTAAATCTGTGGAAGAATTTAAATGTTTAAGAGTAGCTAACAATTTCTAACAACTAATAAATCTATTTTTATTTATGATTATGTTTTGAATAAACCTACTTAGGTTTTTTAATTATTTAATTTTGAGGTGGAAACTATTCGATATGTTATATAATAAAGGAACTGAATTATAATCAGTATGGGTTCTAACATGAGTGGACTTTGTTGTCATGAACTCTTCTTCATTTGTCTTTATAGTTCTTCAAAATATATGCATTTTACTCTAAAGCAAGTGACTCATTCAATTCTTTTAAGGTTTAAATAAAATTTCAAGGAATGATGGAGAGCCTTGAATACAGCATTATGAAAATATATTCAATTGTTATAATTATAAATTCACTGTAGTTCAAGCTATAAAAATATCAAATGGAAAACAAGAAAGACTACAACCAAATTCATATAGCAATGCTTAGAAAAGCTAGAAAATATAAACAAATTCCTTCTTGGTATTTGGAATGTAAAATATCGAAACGTTATGTCTGAATATCTAAGATCTTTAGGAATCCTGCATTGGATATTGTAGTATGGATCAATAAGGCTATTGTTACTGGGTTTTGGTTCTTATTTCCACACATGAAGTTTGTCATGAGATTATGAACCAATTCCTTCATCTTTTTGAATTTCAGTTTTGTAACTAATAAAATAAGGGAAGACACTTAAGTGTCTTCAAAGATGTCTTATAGAGGTTATTTCATGCATAAGGTATTGAGCCCAGTTATCTTCAGTGACTGTGCCTGTCTGGTAATTTAGTGGCTAATGAGGCTCATTAACACTTTCAAACCATTATTTTTATCCACAATTATATTTGGAAGAAAATGTTACCTTACATACTATAAATATGTACTTATAGTAACTACTATAACATATTTTCCTAAAAAAATACAAATAAAAGCCCTAAGTAAACAAATATGGCACAATGACTATTCATTTCCATCAAAACTTATGGGCTAGAGAATATTGTGGTTTATTTTGTTCATTAGATCTATTTGTTTATGTTGGTTCTAATATATAAATAGTAACGGTCTGAATTGGGTTAGTTTCTTATTTAATCTTTTTTAGAGGGGATCCTTCTCTTAATTTTGAGTTTAAAATGACTGTTTTGGCAGATAAAAATAGAGTGAAGGAGAGATGCTTGTTACATCCCTTTTTAATCATTCAGACCTCAAAGTAGAAAGTGGAGACACTCAAAGTTCAAAAAGATAATGACTGCTTCAGAATTCACCTTTGTGCACAAGTAGTTCAAGTTCAGAAAGACTACTGCTCTTCTTCACCATAAGTATCTTCTAGGGTGGCATCATTTCAATATTTTATTAAGCATGTTTATCTTTCTAAAAATCCACCTTTGAATAAACTAGCTCATTTTATCTAATCTTTCTAAGTTATATAATTTCCTCTCATATTTTTCCCTTCTGGATTTTCCTTTTGAATATGAGTGTAGTCCTAAAATCACATACACCAGGGAGCTGTACTCTTGGCTCAGTGCAGTGACTGGAAGTGGGGTCATTCCTACATGCACATTTTATGTGTGTTAGGAGAGCACTAAATATAATTGAGTGGCACCGGCTATAAAACCTGCCGAACTCAGGGCAAACCAGCCCTCTGGATCTACATGCGGGGAGCAGTCGGGTTAGTTCTGCTGAGAGAAATGCAGCCCAAATATATAAATACAAGTAGAACAAGTGAGTGTGTGCTTAGGGAGCCCTCTTTCTGTTTAGGCCAGTAGAGAATTATACATAAATATCTCATTTTATCTAAAAAACTATTCTATTAGTTTCTTATGCTTCTAGGAGATTAAAGTTCTCTGAACATTCTCCTAATTTTTGCTGTCTCATTTTGTCTATATCCTATTTGTATCTCCAAAGGCCCAAGTGAAATGTCATACTGGATTATGCTTTCAGGACTCTCCAAAACCGTGTGTTATTTTCCTCCTTCACATCCCATAGCCTCAAAGCTTGCTATTCTCTTACAGAATTTAGCCTGATCTCTCCTTTTTATATAGTTGGCGTTACTTTCCTTTATAACTCCTGCAATTTGTAGCATTAAACCTGATACACAACACACACTCGATAAATAATTAGTGAAATGAGTTGAGATACTGTAAAAGTCCAATTTTTCAAAAGATTCGAGGCTTATCACAAAGCAAAAGATAGAACAATGTTTAGCAGAAATTTGCATTGTTGCTTTTTTCTGAGAAGATTTTATAAGGCTTTTAGAGAACAACTATAATTCAAGAGGCAGCACAGGCCTTAGCTGTATTATTTCTAAAAATTTTGATTTGAGTTGCTTTTTAAAAAGTAATTCATGTTTCAAATATTCTGAATCCAGAGGCACAGAATATGGTATCACACACTATTTAAATGAGTAAGTGCTCCCTTGTTTTGTCATTTAATACTAAATACAAATCAAATGTTTATCTGTTTGAGTTTGTTCTTCAAAAAGAAAGTGTTGAGAAATTTGGCATGTAGCAGCAGAAAATTAAACTCCTACTTTAAAATGTTAACCAATGACTCACAATATCTCAGATATTCTCAAGACCTGAAGAGAAGCATTAAGGACCTGTAGGACATTGGAATCCAGAAGGAACAACTTTCTTTGCTGGATATGGGGCTACAATGTAGTCTTTACCTTTGCCTTCCAACTCTGCTATATGTCATTTTATTCCCCTTTTCTTTCTGTAGGATTTTTCTAAGTTGTTCGGGAGAGGAGTAAGTTACTTGCAAACTCAGAGCTGAAGCAGCATCTTTGGCAGCACAGACTGAAGCCTCAGAGAGATCTTCCCTAAGGATTTTCACTGCCCTCATCCTAGACCACACAGTGTCCTGTGCTCTTAAAGACGGAGGCTCCCTGACGCCCTGTTGTCCTCCTCCTCACTCAGAAAAAACTTTTAAGAAAAAAATTCCTTAGATTTTCTTGCATCTTCTTGCATAAAATTCCTTGCATTTTCTAAATACTTCTGTGATGTCTAAGCAGCTCCTTTATTCTGTGAATATTTTCAGGATCCTTTAACTGAATGGTAAACTCTCCAGATAAATGTTCATTTTTGTGCAAAGACTGAATTTTTGAATAGTGAAAGAGGAGCTCTTGAGTACATCCTAAGAAGGAAAATTGTTGTATTAGCTCAGATTTTGGTTTCTTCTAGTTTAGTGTTCTTTGAAAGGTCATGGTCACCTGTGATTCTGATCTTAGGTACCCATGTCTTTCTTCTGTTAGTGATCATTTATGCTCCATTATTGGTAACTCTAGTCAAGAATTCTTTAAGTCTATTTATATTTTCTGACTATATCCAAGGGATTTTAATATATTACTAGTGCCACAACTACAGTCAAGGCCAAGATTTTTCACACCTGGATTTCTTCAACAACTTCCTAAACATTTCTCTCGCCTCTGGTCCAAGGCTGACATAACAGGACTGCTATAAGGTTCCTTTTTCTAGTGAAAATACAGTCATTATATCCCTGTAACAAATTCCTCAAAAGAATCCCATTGTCTTCATGGCACATTCCAAGCATTTTCTTTGCCCTTCAAGACTTTTCATCATGTGGCCCCATTTTTGTGCTCCTACACTTGACATTTTATGCCTACCTCATCACATGGTGCATAGAGATGTATATATCTCTTTATTTTTACAATAGATTGAGAGGACCCTGAAAATATTCTAGAACTACATCATAATCATCTTTGTATTCTCATACCCTACAGTAGAGATAATATAGCAGGGATTCAGTAAATATTTACCAAATTAGCAAATCATTTTTGAGCTGGAAGTTCTTTCGTTTGTAGAAGACAGAAACATATTTAATTATATAAAGTGAATTAAAGATATAGACACCCTCAGAAAAATGCTAAGCATTATATAGTTATATGTATTTAATCCTTGCTTATATATAACCTTTTTTATAATTATTCATAGTATATATTGGGAGAGATATTCACAAGAAAGCATAAATGGTCCAACTTTTTGAGAGTCTGTGTTATGAATGAGCTTTTCACCCTCTGCCACATCTGCTTTTCTACCCATGTTTCCACCCAGAATTTTTAGAGGTGTTTAGAGATGTTTAGTTTTCAATGATTACATCTGTTCTGCCCTTTGCTACTAGATACCAGAGCTGTGTCTTTGGTTTTAGAGTAAGATTGAGAAGGAAAAATATAAATATAATATAATCAGTAATCTCGTCAGAAGTTGTATCAAATCTACTTTAGGAGATAAAACATCTAGGGAGTTACTTTTCACACAGACAGAAACCATGACAGAATATTCCTACCTTTATGATTCCTCTTTCTACAAAATATAGTTCTGTAACAGATGATTTTTATTAATCAAGAGAGTAAAAATAAATTGAATAGAGAACAAGAGGACTTTTTTAAGTAGAGCCAAAAAAGAGGAAATTTATCAAATTTATCAAACCATGTTATACACATCACTAAAACAATAAAGTCTTCAATTGAGCAGATTTGGAAAAAATTGATATATGAGAAGTATTACAACATAAATCTGAAATTTATAAGAAAACATGAAATTTCATAAGTAATTATGTGATGTTACAGCACACGGAATGTTAAACAATTGACAGCACCATAGGACTCATCTACTATACTAATTTTTTGTTTTTGTTTCTCAGAAAAATATATTTTCTATTTAACCCAGAAGTTGTGGGGAAAGAAAAGGAGAGGAGAAAGGACCTAATAAAATATGTCTTGACTCTAACCTTGACCACAGCTTAAACCTGTGGAACTCATCTTATTCCTAAAGTTGGGCTTTCTAATAAGAAAAAAATATAAGCATCTTTAAGGAGCTAGAAGCTCCCTGTACAAACTAGCCCATGTCCATTATTATAATATAATTTATTGCTATCCTCACCTTGTGCAATACTTTCTCACATATACCCTACCCTTTCCTTCTGCAGACATTTTCCTAGTTTATTTTGCCTAGATCATTCTTCCCTCAGATCTTCATAAAGTTGACTCGTTCTCATCATCATATCTCAACTTAAGTGCCACCTTCTCAGAGAGAGAGATCATCCCCAACCTCCCTTGTTAAAGGAATATCCCTCAGTTACCATCTGTATTATATCCAGTTCTCACCTTTGTGATCTAGGTTGTGCCTTTTGGTCAAGAAGAACCTAGACCTTCCTCTAGGATGAACAGCTGTTATTGTGAGAACCAGGACTAGTATTCTGGTTAACTGGGTATGCTTCACCCCTTTTGGAATCTGTGTAAAGATTACAGTTTAAGGAGAATTTCAAAAAGAAAAGTCGGTAGAATGGAAACATCTGGTTCAGGATGAAAGTCTGAATTTGCAATCAACATTGACATGGAGGCACAAGAATAGAAAAGAAAAAAATTGATATATGAGAACTTGAGGAGAACTTGAGGAAAAGTATCACTTACATATCTTTTTTAAACTGTCTCAAAATATTTTTCCTATGTAATCTCTTTTGGTTAAAACAAGCTAGTAATTAATTGAATATGGTGCAGTGCCTGATCCCCGATCATCATATCACCTGTAGATGAATGACCAAGGCAATCCATGAGCAGTTTATAAATAGCTTGGTATGGTCAGAGTTGTGTTAAATGCTGGATGGGACACAAACATTCACTTATTTATTAAAAAGACATTTATTGTGGTCCAAACCTGTGGACACTAAATCCCAATCTCAGCACTCTTGAACCTTTTAGACTAGACTGATTGAGAGAGAAGGTCCCATCCCAGAAGCCAGTTCATTAGGCGAAACAAGAAGAATGTATGTAATGTTAACAGAAAAAATATAAAGATCTATATTGGTATGATATGAGCCAGAATAATTGAGGATTTTAACACAGAAAAGCATTTCAAAGAACTCAAAGAAGAAACCAAGATTTGAATTCTGGCTATCTGCAGAATGATAGTGCCCCTGCCAGAGAAGGCACCTGGAGAAATTCAAAGTGACATCTAAGAGGAGATAAGGAGGTCTGTTTCAAGTATTACATATTTTGAGTTATCAAAACTATTATATAGTTTGACTTATCACTGACCAGTGAGTGAAAATGGACCATGAAATGGCCATCCAAGCAGCCCTGGATCTGGGGAGGTTTTGTGTTGGAGATACAGCTTTTAAAATGAAGCGATGTGAAGTAAGCGTAGCATGGTATCTGGAACTTAATAGGAATTCAAAATATGTCTGATGCTAGATTATTAGCATAGAATTCAGTTTTAAATAATGACTAGATGGGGGAGGGGATGCAAGCTAAATGGTCAGAAGGGGCTGGATTGGGGGCAGAGCGAGTGTGCTCTAGTGAACAAGAAATCAGAAATGTTGACGCGTGCAACCACATCCCCATATAACTAACCGGTATTGAAGAATCACTGCTTAGGATGAGTGAGTTAGAGAAAAAGAACAGATTTCATTGGCAGAATGAGAAAAATTTAAACGAACGTACTTGGAAATCTACTCCCCCTCCTAACCCTATGACAGAACACCTAGTCATCAGGTTAAGTCAGGCACCAGAGCAGAAGAAAACAAAGCGTGCTCAACTCAACTGGCTGCAGCGCCTTCCAAATAAAAGACCAGCTGCCCTTTCTTCCCTCCCCACCTTGCAAGGGTCCTCAGTCCCGTCCTGGGCTTAAATCGCACACCTCGGAAGTTTTGTATTAGAGAGCCCAGCAGGGGAGGAAATTTTCCGCAAGAAAGTAGAACTAGGGCAGTCCGAGGAGATTGAAAGGGCAAAACTATCAAGCAAGAAAACTGTAAGTTCTGATTAGTTTTATGACTTTGCCTTCATGCCTCAGGAGCTCAATTGATCATGGCTTCCAAGACAGGCTAAGAGTAGGGGTTTGGGAGATGGGGAGAAGCTTGAAAAAACTCTCAAAACTCTCCTCCAGCTCCGTGCTTTCAAATGCAAATACCTCGCGAAGAGATGGATGGGCTGCAGCCCCTCCTTCTTTCAACCCTCTTCTTTATTTTCCTGCGAAGGAATCCATCTGCACAGATCTGTCAGGAGGGAGGTGGAGGAGGGTGCGCGTTTGTGCGCGCGCGTGTGTGTGCGCGCGTGTCGGCTGAGCGGTTCCCTCTTCGCGTTCTTTTCCAATAGCCCTCATTGGATCTCCGAGGGGTACAGAAGTCTCAGTGGCTCCCTGGGCCGGCCTCGAACGGTGCTGACAGCGGGCGCCCCCGGCGGACCATCATCACCCTCTTCCACTCCGTCTTGGCTCTGGGTCCCCGGCGAGCTCTCTCCTTGTCGCCGGTGCTCGCCCTCTTGCCCTCTCGCCGGACGCGCGCTCCCGCTGGCGCCGGACCTGGTGTCCGCCTCTCCGGAGAGTCGGAGGGACCCCTCGCAGCCTGCAGAGGCAGCTGGTCCGGGGCGCCGAAGGCCAGGGCAGGGTCCCCCGCGCACCGCGGAGTGGGCTGTGATTGGAGGAAGAGCCGGTGCCGGGCGGGCCCCAGCGGGTACAGAGCAGGTGCCTCCAGTCCGCCCAGCGCGCCAAGCTGCGCGCGCTGAGTCCTGAAGCGCCCACGGGCGCCCGGCAGGGGAGCGCACGTCCTTTTGGATGCAAACGTCCGGATCCGGGGCGTCTGACGCCGCTGGGAGGGCAACGAGGCCCCAGGTGAGTGTGCCTGCCTGCCTGCTTGGGGCTGGGGAAGGCGCTGTTGGGCAGATGTGCGCCCTTGTTGTGAGCATTTGGAAGCAGAAGTAATCAGTGAGCGGAAAGCGGGCGGGGGTATCCTTATGGAGTTTCCCTTGGCGTTCCCAAGTTACTGCGTGTTGCCGTGAGACGTTGCTCTGCGAGGCAGGACAGGCGTGTGGACCGAGCTGAGAGCGCGCGGCCGGGAAAACCGGTGCTGACAGACACCAGGTGCGACAGGAGAAGTAGTTCGGTGTGAGAGCACTCACCAGATGCAGCGGTAAACACAGGCAGTCTGAACCGCTCACCTCAAAGAGGAACACAATCGGGCCCCTCCTTTGACCTGGGACTGATGGGGGCACAACTCGGCGCTGGCTCTGCCACCGGGTTCTGCAGAGGGCTGAGGCTGGAAGGGGGTATGTGCCGCAGTGTGCAGCGCCTTCCCAGCCCAGTTCTTTGAACCATCCGCGGTAGACACCTTTTGCCTTTCGTGAAGGTGGAACTCACCTAAGGGTGCTTTGCTTTTTCCTGTAATTAGTATTCTGCTGATATGGTGCTTCTGCGTCCTGCTTCCCCTCCGACTGGCTGTACCTTAGGTGCGCGCTGGGAAAAGGGCGTCCTGCTTCTCTGAATGCATGGTGGACTTCTTCGTGGGTGCACATGGTACATCGCTAGTTGCTGGTATACAACCTTCCAATGTGGATTAATGAGAAAAGACCTATTACTCTGTTCCACTTCACGTTTTAGATGGTTAACCCTACGGATCTCTTAGATGTCAGAGTTCAGGTGAGTAAAGATTGGCAATGAGTTCACCCAGCACTGGGGATGGCAAACAGTTGAGAAATCATCAAGGACTGGGTATCTCTAGGCTTTGGAAATCTGCAAAATTGAACTATGAATAGACTGAAAACATTTTTTGCCTTGCAAAGAAATATTTTGTCTTTATTAGATCTTTTATTAAGTGAAGGACCTTTAAAAGAGACTTGCCCTCCATAATTTCTGTAACTAGACAGGTGTTCAGATAATTTTTCATATAGAAGTAGATAAACAGAACTTTATACAAAAAGAAATAGAAAAATGTACCCTGTCAATATATAGCCCTTGCTACGTGCAAGTATTTATTTTAAAATTCATATTAACAGGACACACATACACACGCTCGCACACACATAAAATGTATACCTTAAGAGTTTAGGAGGAGTGGCAGCCTTTGTTTAAAAGAAAAGTTTGTGTAGACACACTGACAGGAACATCCAAATAGTTTTAAGAGTATCTTTATAAAGACAAATTGTTAGGGGAGAAAAGAGTTAAAGAAAAAAGTAATTAAATTCAAAGCTTTCAGTAACTGACCAAAAATTACTTCTTTCCTAAACAACTAGTTAGACTTTGGTTTACCTAAGCTCTTTTCGTGCTTCTATATATAAAGGCAAAATACACTACGAATGCTTTTGTTTATTTTTAGGGATATTTAGAACAGTATGAATTACAATGCTAAAGAATTGAGGCAGATAGTCAAACTGGCAACTTTGTGAAAGTCTTGGTTATATGTTTCCGTTTAATATGTAGTGGTGTGGCAGAAGCAATTAGGTAACACCCGATGTTAATAGTCTTATCTGGGAACGCTAGCTGAAAGTCTGTTTAAGCAAAGAAAAATAAAGAAAACAATAATCAGTAGTGCAGACCATCACCCTGCTAAAAGCTATTAAGGTTTGCAGCTTTAATAAAAGGTCATTGTGCACTTACGACGTGAGATATTATTGTAATTAAGGGCTGAAATAGGTCATTAGAATTGTGTTAACAATAAGTTGACAGACTCACAACTCTTCTTAAGTCTGCTTTTATGGATTTAATAGCACAGAGCTTTTCCCTATCTTATAAAAGGGTAATTGTAAAGCATCTATATTACAGCAATTTACCCTTGAATTGACTATAGGTTTTAGTGTCCAATGAAGAAGAGAAGAGAGGGTCAAGAGCACAGTAAGTTGGCCACTCTTCAGCCTTCCTTGGTCTAAAAATCAAATGACTGTCTCTCTTCAGGCAAGATTTCTTTGCTGGTCTGTTATTGAGCACTTTGGTCTTTTTGATGGCAAAGCTGATATGAACTTCTCAGAATGTATACTTATATGAGGAAGTGAATGCAATTTTGTCTAGAGTCAAATACTTTGTCAAATCTTTCAGAAATTATAAAGAACTAAACTCATAAATTGTCTGTGCTGTGACTATTTACTCCTGAGTGATTCCAATCTTCCTGATTATTATAAGGTTTTACATTTATCACTTTAATAGTTTGTATCACATCACGGTTCTCTCACAGACAAAAAATGTCTTACTTGATTGGAAGGCTTCATAGCTTTAGCTTAAATTGGGAGTTTCAGGAACTTCTAAAATAACTAACATACATTAGTTGATTGCAAAGGGATGAGACGGGAGCTTTTTCTTTCTTGGATGAGGGAATCAGATGCTACTTGCTGGGGTGATAAAGGGGAATTGAGGACAAGGAAGAAAGACATGTGATCAGAGTCCTGTGTGTGACCATCTCCCCAGCCTCTGACAAGAGCGGCTCTAGCTGTAACCAGCAATACACGAGTGCCTCCTCTGGGGATTTGCTGGTTCTGCAGAAAGATACCCCTGCAAACACTTCCCCCTTGTCATTCTGCAAGTCTCACAGAAAAAATTACTGGTGCAAATGAATATGCAGGCATCTGTCCATATATTCATTTCAGATTATAGTATAGATTTTAATTCTGATAGTGTTTATTGAAACATAATGACTTTTACTGAAGTCACATAAATCACATCTGGCACAAGGTAAATACTAGGGTACATTAAAAATTTAAATTGATACAGCTAAGATTTCTGGTAAGAATAAAGTATATACAAAAAAGCCCTTTAAATATAATTTTAGAATCTTGTTATTACATAAGTAATTCAGAAGGATTGTGCTTTGATACTTGGTTTACTTTTTATTTTACAGAAGCTTCTTCTATAAAATTGTAAACTATTCTTTATCCCTTTTTTTATTCCTTTCACCCATGGCAAAGGTTGTGCTTAGTTGAAATTGACTCTATAATCCACTTTGAGAAGTTTTCTTTCCATGTTTGATAACCAGATGCACACTACAGGCTATGTGATTCATTTCCAGGGCCCCTGCCTGCATATTTAGGCCAGTTAACAGTAGGAGGTTGTGGTCTGTGGCTGTAATGTTATCTGGCACAGGGAGCTAATGGATTTGATCACAGTTTCTTTATGTGAGAAGTTACATATCATAGAGAGTCTCTAGCCTCACTAATTAAAATGTAAAAAATTATACCTTTTAAGTACAAAATAGAGGGCTCTTTCATTAGTATTAAAATTATTGAATGTTATGTTAAACTTTAAATGGTTTAAAGATGCAACAAATTAAATGATAGTATATTGCTATACTAGAAGCAAAATTAACATGGCAAAATTAAATCTAGAATGATTATAATGAGAATATTAGGAGCAGTTATCTCAAAATATAGGATTTAGAACACCCCCCAAAAGGGGACAATTGGTATGGCAGTTGTTTTACCAAACAAAATGACTATATATATATATATATATATATATATATATCACCTAAGATATTTTCTTGAGTTATAAAATATTCAATGGGCTGTTGTACAAATTTAAGTGGAAATAGTTAACTACTTAGTGTCATAATGTATTAGGAATTTTTTTTTTATTCTAGAGATGTATAGAGGGGAGAAAGCAATTTTATATTTAGATATTGCTTACTCTTCATTTTTGGTAACATAGAAACATACAAGCCTAGACAATAAATTCCTCCACTTTTTCTTCTTACTCTGCATTCCCTGCCCTACTGAATGGCAATTATGATGACCTGCTACTTTGAAAATTAAAACTTACAGTTAAGGAATTTGAGTACAATCAAATCTTCTTTTCTTGGCTTTTGGAAAAGCTCATAAATTCCAAAATTCACACATTAAAAAGAGATTCATTACCCAAATGAGAAATTTTCGACAAACACTTTGAAATGATTATTGCATCCAATTATGCTCAGTTTCATCAAAAATTAGTGTGTGACCTTGGACATTTCACTAGAATTATGTAGATTTGAATTGTTTTCTTAGTAAAGAAAGAAGGGTTGTGTTGTTTTTTGTAATGTCTGTCTGTTCCAGTTCAAATATGTTACTAATCTGTGGTTCTCCCACTTCAGCAATCCTCAAACATAAGGAGTTATAGAGTTTGAGGATTTCTTTAATATCCTCTAACATGAACCCTCATGAGAACAAAACTATTACATTCTTCAGTATTGAAGTGACATTCTCTTGTCTATTTCATAGACATTGTCCTTAATAGCTATAATGTTGTGTTGCAGTTGGAAATAAAGTGTGGCTACAGTTCTTAAAACACTCCTTGTCCTGGAGTACTTTCTCTCTAGTGTTGTGTTCTGACATTTGCTCAGTCATGAATGGGAGGGGATTAGACATATTATTTTCCCCTTTGGTATTACCAAAAATGTATCGAGTAATTCTACATTAAAAATGAGTAAAATCAATAATGAATATGTACTATCCCTTATACAAAGCAGACTACTATAACTTTGTGGGCAGATATAAATCACAGAGAGGATGTTAGTGGTAACAGGTGGCAGCTGTCCCGGGGAAACAAGGTCAAATGAAGGTTTTTAAAGACATTGAATGAATCAGGAGGAAGTCTCTTCATTGAATTAAAATAAAGCCATTCAATACCCAAAAAAGATCCAAAATGAACAGACTTCTTTTCCGAGACTATACAAAAGAAGTAATAAATGGGAGGTTGCTCTTAAGGCAATGCTAATATTTTGGATTTACCCTCTACCCATTGCTATGGAGTGGTGTCATTTCCACTTTTAAACATTTATATTGTTCACCCTTCATAAAGATTCATTAACATATGCTGCTTGTCAAAATGCACTTCAACTTTAAAGCAGTCTTAGAAATGACAGCTTCCCCCAATAGGCCAATATGATTGTTTTTTTTCCTTTTGTTGTTGTTACAACTATGATTTCCTATGCTGTTCTGTTTTATAGATCAGCCAACAAACATCTCAGGGAATATCAGATTCTGGAGGTGCTTGGCAGTCAACCATTCTGGATTTTTCTGGTTCTTGTGGATTATTTTATTAAGCACACTGATAGTCCTCAAATGTCATTCCTACAATTGTTTTCCTAGAAAACACAAATTATTTAACTTATTAATAGACTATCATGCTCCATCGAATTGTGAACTGTACCCATTTTTAAAATAAAGTCTTAACTTCTTTCAATCACTATGACCATTGATAATTAACTGTATATTAGTGTGGTATATATTAAACATATTTCAAAACAGTTTCAGAAGACTTATTTCAGATTTTAGAAGATCTGATATAGACTCCAGGCAGCAGAGAGAATGAACAGCTGCTCTTGCCTAGAATTTAGAGAAGGTTTGGTAGCATAAGGTCCTTAATTGTGATAAACCAGTGGTTATTTATATTGGACTACAAAAAACACATTCCAGTTTAACAAGGGCCACAAAACCAAAAAATAGTAATATATTTCCTGTTAATATAGTTGATAGTCATATATTATAGCACATATTATTTCTAGAAATCATATAGCACTATGTAGTTTTCAAAAAAGTAGTCTAGCATATGTAAATTAATTGGCAATTAGACATATTTTAAAAACTACTGTGGTTATATGTTAATGTCTAGTGGCTGAACATGATACACACACTTGTCATGTTTTTAGGATGCTGATTTTAATTTAGATGGAACAGATTCTCAAAGATTTGTACTTTTGCCAATTAACAATTGATATGCTAATGCATAAAGTGCATCTTTTTGGTTAAGGGACTTTTAGTCATTGTTTTTAAGTATGAACAAAGCATTTGATTAAGAGCATGATAGTCAGTTGATCTGTTAAAAGTGGTTTCTCAAAAAAAAAAGTGGTTTCTCAGAGATGCCAAGTGGAGTAGAAATTCTGAGAAAATTTTATAATAATGAATTTGTTTCAGTCAAATAATATTAGATGTTAAGGTTAAAGGAATAATAATCCTACTTGGGACTAATACTTTGCTACTTCATTGAAAAAAAAATTGGGACAAAATAGTAGTATGATAAAGTTATTTCAGGTCAAATAAACAATGTTGATATAGTAAATAGTGCTTGAGGGATTCTCATCCCCCCTCCCTTTTTTTCCTTTCCTTGAGAAAGAGATTCATTTCAAATCTCCATCTCAAGGTTTTATTTTACATTATTTTATATTCTGATTGATTTAGGTATATTGTGCTGATCACAGTACTACTTGTGATTTTCATGTATTTTAAGTTTAGAAAAAATTGAATAAGATATCAGAACAAACAGAAATATTTTAAATCTTACTCAGATAATTTTTTTATTTAAGAATCTTTATTAGTCCACTAGCCATCACCACTACTCTTTCAAACATCAGTGGTTGACCTCTATTCAATTCTCTCCACAGATAAAACCTCTTGTTTTCTCCTCAGAGTTATAATGTTCCACATTTGTAACTGTCCAGAAGGTGACACAGATCTGTACAAGCTCCCTCAACTATATACCAATACATCTTTTTTTAATGTACTTTTTTCCTGCACTAGTAATAGTCAAGCGGTCAGCTGTCCAGACCTCCAGAGGGTCACTCTCATAAGCTTTCCCACACAGACAGGACCACACCATAAAGCCTGGGTGCAGAGGTCTCTGCTTTTTTTCTGGTGTGGCTCCTGTTAACTCCTGTGTGTGAAACTCAGAGAGGAGAGGAGGCAGAAGAAAGGGAGAATATAAACAATTTGAAAGTCTAAAGAGGGATGCAGTGTTTTTGTTTTTGCTTTGGGGCACAGGTTTGTGAGGCGATATTTAATCCATTGTGAAAAGTCAACAATTGTAATTGGTCCTGTGCTTAAGTTCATGTAAATGTAAAAAAAAAAGTTATTGTAGTACCTTTATACCACAATAATGTTGACGTTTGTGAGAACATAAAATGTTGTTTGGAGAAGTTATGCGATAGGTGAGAGAATCTCAAGTTCAAGTTTTGGTTACTTCTGTTTGACAACCATAGACACAGAACTAAAGGTTTTCATAATTCTTCAGGGCTTTTATTTCTTTCATGATAAGCTGACTCAGGACTGGATGCATTGGGTTGAACTGTTATACTGGCCTTTACCTTGAAAATCAGATGTGATTGAAAAGGAAGGCAAAGATTTGGGAAGACTGATAAGGAAAGGGGCACCTGACTTGTGACCAGACAGCTTCTCCCCTGTCACATCAGGTGTATATTCCTGGCAGCATGGGTAACTACCAAAAGTATTGGAGAACAAATTATGAAATATCCTTACTTCAGTTCATAATTTCAGACATCATTTTCTGGGTAACCAAGTGCACTCCAGGAAGGGTATGACAGTGGATTTATCTTCCTCATAAAAGAGAATTGTACCCTCCAATTATGTACACAAAGCCAGCTAAAGTATTCTTTTCCACTCTTGTAGACCTTTGGCGCAAGATAAAAAAAATTTGGTTCAAGAGCCTGGCAAATACATCAAATACTGCAGAGACATATAATGGAATCGACATGACTGTGATTCATAAACATAATAGAGTTACCCAGGAATTTATATGTTTATATGGTTAATTTTCCATATTAAAATAGGAGTTTCATCATAATGAAAACAAATCTATAAATATTTTCCAAATGTCAGTTATATGCCTACTTCTTTTCTAGATACTACAGATACAAAGATAGGTTGGCTATTTCTATTCACCACAGTTTATGTTAATACTATTAATAGATGCTTTTAAAACTCTTGATTTAAATAGGATAGTATGCAATCATCAAGTATCTTTTCTTTAAAAATACTATCTCAATGACTGTAATATTAATCATGGCATATTTTGTAACTCCATTCTTTTATATGTTCTCTTAGCTAATTTGATGAATGCACAATCTTATTGTATGAAAGAGAAATTATCTTTAAGAGGTAAGATGAGAAAATTCAATAGCTCTTGTTAAAGAGCATACTGCATTTCATAGGCAGACCAAATGCTTCTTTTACATTCCTATAGCTTTCTTAAACTTCTCTACCTTTTATTTTTAATTATTAATAATACACACCTTATCACAGCTTTTAAAAGCTAACAAAATCAATTTTATATAATTGTCAAGAGCAGAAAAGTAACATCTGAAAAATAAAACAGACTTTATAATATAATTTGATTCAGCTCCTTCATTTTGGAAATGTGGAAAATAAAATCCCAGAACTACAAACATGTCCATCCCTCAAACAGTGTACACCACACTCATTATGTGTGAACATACCTATTCCCTTTTCCCACTTCCCACTTGCCCAAGATTTTATTGCCTTTTGATGCGTAAGGATTAGCATTTCATGATTTGCTCATTTAATCCTATGAAGATGCCATTTTATCATTTTTGTTTTATAGGTGAGAAGCTTGAGACTTCATCTATGAAACTTAAGTTTTTAAAATTTAACTTACCCAATACTACATGGTTAGGACATGACAGACCAAGAATTTGGATCTTTATGGCATGCAGACACTCACAGTCTTCACCAGTGTATAATTTGTACTAAACTCTCCAACTTTTGAATTCCAAAAGCTCATTTACTATTTTATCTTTTAGAAGTTGGGTATGTGTTCATACTCAAACATTATTACCGAGTCCACTTAATTCATAAAGTAGTCTAAATAATATAATTTTGCTTTATCACTTTAAAAAATACATGTTAGGGACCAAAGTGTTTATGTCATTATTTTCAAGAGATAATTCATTCTCAAAGAAGGAGAGAGTGAAACTAGAACTGTTCTTTGGCCACAGTTTTCACATTCTGGTGTCAGTCCTATGACCACAACTCTAAACCATCCCTCCCCAGCCCCAAGAATGTGGTTTCTCACGAGATGAAGAAAGCTACATAACCTTGCAGTTAGCATGCTCTAATAACAGTTACCATTCTCATGGGTCTCAGCACATGTCAATTAGCTGAACACTGTACCATTCTTAAATGCACTCTGCAATATCAGAACTTTGTAGAGATATTTTTTAAATGTATGTGTTCATTTTAATAGAGCTCAAAGTCAATGCAACATGTTTCTTCCAGTGTGTGGAATATTTAACATATTTAATAAATTTATATACATGAATATATGTTATTTTACATTTCTTCTGTATAGAGTTTTTCTTAAGAAATTTGGCTCTCAGAAATATTTTTCTATTGAATGATAGACACTTATGTTACAGGAGAGACCTGTAGAAAGATGGAAAAGCTTATAAAGATTGTGTATTTTCTGTTTTAACAGGGAGATAACTTTTGGCTTCATGTTCTCAAAATTATAATTTGCACCTCTTATTCTTCAAAAATAACAGAAATGAACAAATGATAATCTTTTGCCTTAATCGTTATGTTGTTGATTTATTTATCAGAAGTAAAATGAATTCATAAACCAAAGTGCAACATAATTATTTAAGTGAGCACTTTGTCATAAATTCTCATTCATTCGTGTTTTGGGGATGTGTTTGAAAGTTTGTTTTGTAACTTATTTTATATCTCTTGCATAATCAGAATTCTGTAACTGAAATAAATAGATATTAAAATAAAATGTTTTTTTCCATGCTGCTGCTAAATCACCTCCTGGATGCATGCCAACAATCTGTGGGGCTCACAAATATAGTTGTGTTTTCTCACCCCTTTGTTGATCAATATAATTCATTTCTATAACTGTTTATGGAAAATGGCCCTACTATGCACAAGTCATGTGCAAGGTGTTCAATAAATATTTGTAGGATAGCAAATAACTGCAGGGTGATAGCATAACCTTGCGTGCTACACAGCATACATGACAATAAATTTGAAAGGAGGAAAATAGAAACTACTGAGCTTTTCAGCTGATCACAATCAAATCAGAACACATCAAAACAGCTGGTGTTCTGTGACTCAGAATCAATCAACCAGTTTTGAATCACCTCATACTTCTTTATTTCTCTTTACAGTTTCACAGAAGAGATTTAAACCAGCATATGTCCTTCCCATTTGCCTAAATCCCTGCTTTGAGTTGCTTTACTTTCATATTCTAATACCAATAAATGAAAATGACTGTAATATAAAAGAAAAAAAAATAAAGGCTAACATTAAAATGTTTTTATTTTAAATGATGCGGCTACATTTGTGTAAAATAAACCATATGCTCAAATAAAAGACCCTAGAAGAAATGTGATATTTTAAGGTTGTGTTATGGAATGAGGATAATTCTGCAGTAGCAGTATTTATGTAATTTACAAATATGGCAATGATTATTGTAATTTTCCAAGTATATAATTAATATTTTAATGATTATACAAGTAATATCTTTGGAAAATCAGTATTAGGCTAGTAAATAAAAGCTAAATGTGATTATGTGTTTTTGTTTTTGACACTAGCTCTTCTCTTTGTTCTGATAGGTACCTATTACACCATTCCTTGGCGAAGGCTATTCAGCAGTGGTGACCTCTTCCACTCCAACACTCTACAAATTATTATCTCTGGACTCCCAGCTGACACCCTGCCGGAGGCAAAAGCTACTAAGCCAACTGGAACTGTGCCTTTTCCTTTGTCAAGGTTTTTTTCTTACACAGGAAAAAGAAAGAAAAAAAAAAAGATGAAGTTGGGCAAAGTGGAATTCTGCCATTTTCTGCAGCTAATAGCTCTTTTCCTGTGTTTTTCTGGGATGAGTCAAGCAGAACTCTCAAGGTCCAGATCAAAGCCCTATTTCCAATCAGGGAGGTCCCGGACGAAGCGCAGCTGGGTGTGGAATCAGTTCTTTGTGCTGGAGGAATACATGGGTTCAGACCCCCTCTATGTAGGAAAGGTAGGGCATTTGGCCTTTCAAAGTTGCAAATGATTATTGTCAATGACTGTGGTTGGATGTAAAACTGCTAACTTTTGCTATGGGGGTAGGAAAAACAAAACATCATTCCTAGGAAAGAATTTATGAAGTTTTTGGTCTTAGCCACTTCCAAGTTGCAATCATAGTGTTATACTCAGCACAGTGTAGCCGTAAATTAGGGAGTGATGCTTCATTCCTAAAAACACATGAGGATCCTACAGAGGCCTAGTTTACTGTGATTGCAGCATACTGGCAAAACTGTTATCACCGAAATTAGAACAAGAATATCCACTAATAAATGAAGAATAGTGGGCTTTTATAGCCAGTTAATTTTTTAGCCTCTTCTTTCAGGGTACTAGGTAAATAATGTCCATACTAACATTTATGATTGTGTATCCTTCCCTGATACTTATAGTACCAAAACTGCAAAGTGAAATTATTGATCCTAATGGCTCTAGGTTATGAACAATTCAAACCCACTTTTCTTACTGGTCTCATTTTGATATATCTTTGTGGATTTCTCCTTTCTTTCTTTCTTTCTTTCTTTCTTTCTTTCTTTCTTTCTTTCTTTCTTTCTTTCTTTCTTTCTGTGCTTAGTAAATTTCCTTTTGATCAAAAATGAACATGAACAGAAGTCAGTTAGAAGTGATATTAGACAAATGGTGGGCAGTTAATGCTGCATTTGTTTGGTGGCCAACAGTTAGCCAGATGGAGATTTGTTTCTTCACAGCTTCCTTCTGTCTGAATATTTGGGCAGGAGGTTTTCATTGGAGGGCCTTGTGAACTGAATGGTGCTTCAGGAAAGTACACCTGTACACCTCACACCTGTAAATCTAGCACTCTGGGAGGCTGAGGTGGGAGGATTGCTTGAGCTCATGATTTCGAGACCAGGCTGTACAAGAGTGAAACCTGTCTCTACTAAAAATAGAACAAATTAGCCAGGCTTGGTGGTGTGCACCTGTAGTCCCAGCTACTCAGGAGGCTGAGGCAGGAGGATTGCTTGAGTCCAGAAGTTTGAGGCTTCTGTGGGCCTAGGCTGATTCCATGGCACTCTAGCCTGGGCAACAGAGCAAGACTGTGTCTCAAGAAACAAATAAAAAGCATGGCCTTTTCCCTGTCATTTTCCCAGTCCCTAATCTACTGAAGGTTAAATTATTTCAATATTTGTAAAGATTTCCTGAATTTTTCAATTTGATTCTGAGTACTAGTAAAGGTTTTCTAAGTAGGATATGTTAGTAAGAAATCTATGTCTGTATATTTCAACTCTTCCCTCTGTCCATTTTATGCTTCTATTCCTGATAAAATGAAGCACGGCTAACTAATGAGTTTATCTATAATTCAATTTTTCAACTTTGAAAGATAGAGGTTATTTATTCCATGGGTCATTATTTCATTTGAGCATATCTTAAGTAAGAATAGAAATTATTTTTGTTGATGAGCATCTACATAAATCAAGGTAATATTTATTATTTTTATTATTATTTCCTTTTAATATCTCTATATTTTAGGAATACTGACTGGCACTGTATTGTAAACAAAATAATTTGAATAAGTTAAAGATTTCTAGGAATGTGGATTAGTTTTTTTTTTTTTTATTTTTTTTGGCTAAGTCACAGCATTTTCCTACCCTAGGAAAGTATATGTAAATACACAAGAGTTTTTATGTACTTGTATGTATTTTTATAGCTATTCTACATTATCAATATCAGCATACTAAATACTATTAATATATATGTGCTAAATTTTTCTCTCACTCTCTTTGTACTTATTTTCATGTAAAAAATGAGAAGAATAATCATTATGTAATGTTATTGACTAAGAATCTAGCTCTTAGTTTAATTCATTTTTAGTTAACATTTAACAAATTCATCAAGGTTTCTTCGATGGACAGATTGACAGATTCAACTAATTTACAGAGTCAATAGCTATTACGTGAATTCAAGTTTTTGTGGCAATGTAAAATTTTCTAAAAACAGCAAAAAATATTCCCATTAATTGTGTTTAAAATGGAGTTGGCTGGGAAAAGGTAATATTTTAAAAATCAATACAATTTTAAAATGTAAATTCACTTTTAAAAAGTTTTATAAACTTCACATAATAATTCAGAATGCTTATACAAAAATAACCCCTGTAAGTCAATTTAAAATTATTAAAATATATGTCCCTAGTTTGCTTAATTTCCAAACATGTACAAAGTTATTGGGCAATGGTGTTATTCTGTTTCTAAGAGAAATTGTATGGTTTATTGATTAGGTAATAAGACTTATTCTGTAATTCCCTTTCAGTTCATCAGAGAAGGTTGCTTAACAAATTTTATGTAACAAAAAAGTTAGTTTTTGTTTATCTTTTGCATGCTGTATATTGGGACTTCAATACAGCCATTGACAGTGAAACTCAGGATAGAAATGGGTTAAAAAAGAAAGAAAAAAACCTCTTAATTGACTAAAATATAAGAAAAAGGACAGTAAAATAATTTGAGATGGAGAGAGGATTTATAGATAAGAGAGACAAATACAAGACCTTACAGAAATAATTCTTGTATTTCCTTAAAAAAAAGCGGCCGAGAACTAGTACTATAGATTTTAGATATGAGATGATGAAATGATTCTTTTTAGGTTGATGCTCTGAATAAACAGCAATATAAGAATAACCTTGACCTCAGTACATTTTGATCACTTGATCACTTGGGTATATAAGATATGTGTGTGTATAGAAATCGATGACTATGACCAGAAATGTTTATAGGATAGAGAAAACTAAAAATTATAGATGAAGATATGTTGGAGTGGCTAGGCAGATAATTATGAAAAGAAAAGAAAAAACCTTATCAGTACTTTTCACAGATTTATATTTAACCTATGCTAATTAGATAACCACACTCTTAATTGTCCTGACAAAATCTAGCTATTTAGATAATTTGGAAAATATAAATGATGACTTCAATAAATTTTATAGCTTAATTTAATCACATAATGGATAAATACAGTGTGTTTCAGATTAACATCAGCTTTATCGCTGGCTCTACCACTTCCTACTAGTTGTATAACTTGGGGGCAAGTTGCCTAGTATTATATTTTCGTTTTCTCCTTTCCAAAATAAGAACAATGATATCTACAAGTCAAGTCTGTTACTGAATAAAGGAGATTAAAAAATTTGGAACATACATTCAATTAGTCTGGACATCATTATATTTTCTACTTCACTACATATTAATTATAAATTAACTGAGTTATGGATAATCTATTGTATTATGTGTCAAATGTTGTATGTGTGATTCCTTAGATGAAAGCAGGCATTATTTTATGGTCCACTAGTGTATATATTTATTCCAGGTAATTAGATGAATGGTCCATTTTGGATGTGCTTAGAAATGCAGCATTTATTTTTACATTTTTATATGATTAAACTATGGCAGTAATATAATTAGTAGGTTAAAAATCCTAAAAACAGGAATTTCAAATGTTGGAGAAATCATTTCTGTGAATATTTTGAGATCTTCAAATTTGGAGGCCTTCATATTAATGGATTGTGGCCAACAAGATCAGTTAAATGACTGAACAGAAAGTAAAATTTGGTCATTAAGACACTGAAGATAATGAGGCCACAGTATGGCCTTCAACCTTATTATTTCACCTAATTTACTGGGTTTGTTTTACCTATGATAACCAAGACTAAAGTAGATAGAACGGTCTGTTGAATGGAGCCGGGAGTGCTTCTGGACTGCTTACGGATACTGACCCTACATGTATAGACTTAAGGAAGGAGTCCTTAGATATTATTCTGATTGATTTCTGTTTTAAAGAATAATAGTGCATCTTTCCCTAAGTATATTTCTTAATTATCATCATGCCTATTTTCTTGTCATTATATGGGGAGAATGAAAGGGAGAGTCTTTTCTTTTCTTCCTCTGACTTAATAGCATCGCTCACCTGGCTATTTGCTGCACACAGGAGGTGACAATGTCCACCCATTTCGTTGCCTCACACTGCACTTTTCCAGCCCAGTCTTTTTGTCACCTTAGCATTTCTCACTTAATGTCCCTTGACCATCTGACAAAAAAATCTGTCTACACAACCACCCAGTCTCTGTTCCAGGGATTAAATGTTTTTCATCTTTCCTAACCGTAATGGGCTGCCAGCCGATCGCTGTGCTCTAGGCCATTACTTTCACTGAAACGTGTGCTTCGTGCCTCTTCCGCAGTTGCTTCCCTAGCTGTTAACATCACTCTTGCCTTTTTTGCTACTTTCCTTTCTTCCCTGCCCATTCAGGGAGAATTTATTCCTATTACCCCACTAGAAATCAAATACATAGAAGTGCAGTTTGCAGGATTCACTTTGCTTTAAATTTAAGCTTACTGAGAAGTATTGGTGAGCATTTTCAATGCATTTAATTACATGTCAGCAGTATCTCTCACCAAGAGATTCTTTATCTCCTGATATCTAAAGATACATTCAGAGCTTCAGAAAAGACATTTTCATCTAGAAAACAGGTTGTGTTAAAAAAATGAGTTATAAATTGGCTTCCTTAACTGGGAAATTTTACATTACCTATAGAAAAAGAAAATAATAAATCCCAACTACCAATGACTTAGGGAAGAGTGTATTCATCATAGCAAAATTTCCATTTTATAGATTTTGGTGAAAAAAAAGAAACAGGAAAAACATCCTCTGAATATTTAGTTTGCCTAAAATCAGACCAAATCTTAGGAGAAAACTGTTTTTACTGAGAATGTATAGAAAACTCATTTTCATAATATCTTTATGACCAGAGTTAATTTGTGAAAGCCCTTGTTCTAATCTTTGTTAGTTTGCTGATAGAAGTGTGGAACTCCTGGTGATTTCAAAAAGAATTTGGACATAGATCATCTCTGTGGGACGCAAATAAGTTCAGGTTTTAAGAAGTACTTTTTGGCAGTTATTTTTAGCGATTCTAATACTCCTGCATAACTGTAAGATATGAAATTCTTTTTCTTCACATAAAAT